TATAGCATACCATTTTTGTTTCCTTACTTTTGGGCCACCCGGTATATGTGGCGAATATTATAGATAAGAGTAACCGTTGTCTAAGAAACTTTGGCTTCATGTAGTCGTTATAAACAATTCGAAACTTTTAACTTTGGGCTTATCTTTAAGGAGAGAACCATTTGAAGTAATTTAGAATTTTCTAGGTGATATTTTGTTCACAAGTAGAGGGTTCCATGGAATCAATAAAGGGCTAAAACGGTAGGAGATCATAAAGTTTCTTTCTCGAGTTAGGATCGTTTGACTGTGTTCATAAACCTAATAAATCAATCATAATCCAAGGAGGAATATCTATGCGCTCTTACCTCTTTAGACTTTTTCTAGTGCCATTAAGCCCTACTTAAGAACAAAATATTAGTTAGAATACTGGCCGGGGATGGCTTAGTGGTTCTATGGATCTGATTGTTAGTCAGACATCAGAAGGTTCGATTACTTCCCCCGGTATGGTGTCTTCGGTGTCAAGATATACGGTATCGGAAGAATAAACGGAGGAAGAACAGCAATGCACGCCGACCTCGTCATTACTGCCTCGATTTCGATTTTCGTGCTGCTCATTTTCACTTCCATGTCATTCTTTCTCTGTTTGTTATCGTTATCTTGTCTGTTGGCTCCTATGTTCGTAAGAGTCCGCAAAAATTGTATAAAAAACACAACAAAATATGGATGTCACGAATAAAATTCAGTATAATTAAAAACAAAAATAGTGAGAAAACTATGAATCATTTTGGGTTGTACTCTCATAAGCCTACTCAAATAGGCATCCACGGACGATGGAACCTTCGCAGGTACCTCCGGCCGATTTCAATGATTCTTTGACTATAGATACTACATAATGTCCTAACAACAACACTAAAAGGATTTTGATTCCTATCGAGATCTGACGAAATTATTGAATTTTCAATATATCTACTTCTGAGAGTTCCTTGTGGGGGACCTCATGTTTTAAAAAAATCGCATTCTCAAATTTTGATCTCAGACTTTGCACGAATGGAGACCTCAATTAGGCTAGCTCGCACCGAAAATTGCACAAGTTTTGAACAGAGTTTCGCCAAGGTATCGAACTTGCAAGATATAAATTTTTTTTCTATAGATAATGTATTCAACATGCATTTTTTAAAAGCTTCACATCTCAATGAGACATTATTCAAAGCTTGTGAAATTTTCGGTGCGAGCTAGCCTGATTGAGGTCTCCATTGGCGTAAAGTCTGAGATCAAAATTCGAGAAAACGATTTTTTCAAACATGAGGACTCCCACAGGGATCTTTCAGAAGTAGATATATTGAAAATTCAATAATTTCGTCAGATCTTAATAGGAATCCACATCCTTTTTAGAGTTGTCATTAGGACACTATGTAGTATCTATAGCCAAAGAATCATTGAAATCTGGAGGGGCACCTGCGGAGGTTTCCTCGTGAGTCGGAACTTATCGAACTCGACCATTCTCGTGAACGCAAATCCTTCGTTAAACCATTCTCATAATTTCCATACAACAGTGAATATTATTTCTTAGTTTTAGTTAGGTTACAAAACTGATCGAACTTGGAATTCCCGATCTCAGTACATTCTATCACTAATTACTCTTAGCCAAGTTAGAAGAATGACCGGAAGTGTAGATTTTCGCTTACGAAAATGATAGATCTCCGGAAACGATGGAACAGAAGAATAGCCGAATCCAGGATTCCGAGGTTCGGTGCATACCTATACTGGAAGCGATGTTCACAGTCTCGTTGCTATTTAGCCTCATATTATTCTCGCTAAAAATTGTTTATACCAATGTGTACAGCAGTTCTAATCATTTGCTTTTGTTTTATTTTAGAAAGGACTGAGCATTCTCAATGTCCTGCTTAGTACTTTCTCTAAACTGTTTTCTGCGTTTGCCCATAGTACTACAAATACTACGAACATCGAGTGTATCATATAATTCCTACTATAGATAAAGCGGAAAAAAAGGAAATTGAGAATGGAAAGCAGTATATTGAGATTCAGTACATGAAAAGAAAAGAAAGAAAACGAATGAATGAATTATTTAGTGACACTGATATATTTTCTTTTATATGCATCTATGTAGCTATCATGTTAATGAACAAAATTTAAATTACATTAGAAGACTTGTTTTGAAATATTATTGTACGCTATGTTATCTCATGACAAGAGAAAGAGCTCTAAAATTCTTAAATCCAAACTTTCATATATTTATTTTTACAGTTATTTTCTCAAAATGTGTGCTCAACGAACAATACATAGTAACAGTACTTCAAAATATGGTCTCATACTTCTTGGAAATACGGGCGTTGGTAAATCATTTATTGGCAATGTTGTTCTTGGTCGAGATGTTTTTGAACATGACTGTAGCGCGTCAAGTGTAACACATGAAACAGAATTTGAAGATTATGCTATTGGTAATGGATCGTTTGCTGTATTCAACATTCCAGGCCTCATCGAAGCTGAACAAGAAGCTGTCGATCGAAATAAAACTGAGATTTACAAAGCATTTCAACAACGACCTAACTCTGTCGTTGCTTTTGTTTTTAACGGTGGTTCTGGCGGACGTATTCGTGATGAAGATGTTGTGGCTTTCAAGGCTATAAACGATGTTTATCATTTTGAACCGGAAGCATTACTGTTGATTATTAACGATCTACCCCATGATCGTTCACCTAAATACGAAGGTGGAACAGCTATGAAGTTAGAATGTCTTGTAGAAATTCCAAACGTTCGAATGTGTTTTCTGGATCGAATCAGTAAAAAAACACTAAGCTACAATGATCGCATTGGATCAGCAAATCCAAACGAGAACTCTAATTCGAGTGCAAAGGCGCATGGAATAGATTTTGTTGGAAAAAAGTTAAAAGGCGCAAAAAATTTCTTCAAAAAACATGATGCTCCGACATCAGATAAATTGCAAGATTCAACACCGGAATTAGACGAACGAGAAAAAATGCGCAGAAAACTGATGAGTGCCATCATGAACTGTAAGCCTCACATTCACGAGAAACATGGTGACATTCAACTGAATGTTGATAAAATGAAAAACCTTATTGAAGAATCGAAGAGAATTCAACGAAGTTTCGAAGAAGAACGTGAAAAACTACAGACACAAATTGATCAACGGCAAAAAGAGTTCGACGAATATAAACGACAGCAAGAAGCAATGCCACGCGAAGTACATCATCATCATGAAAGAATTATTGAACGAGAGAGCAGTAATGGCGGATTAGGGGGATTGTTAGGATTCGTGTCCCCTATTGTCAACATACTTTCCCGATTATTCTAAAGAAAAATCCCAAAAATGTATCCATATCGCTTTATTGAACTTCAAAATACATTTTCTGATCATAATCGTCAGCATTTATAAAAATATTGGATCCGTTACTTCAATTTGATGGTGATGGTAACTATTTTATTTCTTAGTTTAAACTGCATCAATGAACACTTTCCAAGAGAAACATATTTTTAATTTGTCTGTTCTATATTTCTCTTGAATTTAACTTCATTGTATATTTTCCATGTTCATAGAACTAAAAGACTTGCCAAAAGTTCGTCAATAAGATTTTTGCGAGCAGAACATTCGTCAGTGTCAAAATTGCAGGCGGCGTATATTGGCGAAACTCCACTGTACTTTCGTCAATTGACAAAATTGCAGAGAGCATATTGGTGTTTCACCAGTTGTGACGAAACAGTATTAACACAGAATACATATAAGTGTAATTAATAATCAAATTGTCGAAATTCTATCGAAGGTGTTGACCACAGTATAGTAGACTTTCATTACTGACGAAAGTGCTACAGTGTGATCCATAAGTTGTGGGATCTCTCGAAAAATTGCTCGTTTCTTACTTATGACATATCTAAAACATTCAAACTTTAACAGATAATCCTTTATGGCAAGATACATATTACCCTAAATTTTCATATCTCTATTGCTAGTAATCAGGAGGATATTAACACATTCGTGGCGATATAAATATTGTTTTTTCATAATTCGTGAAAGGTTTCATTTCTTTATTCATGCTAGTTCTAATACTTTAAAACAGGTTTGGTCAATGTTTCTCTTATGGATATGATCTATGAATATTACTTTATCAGTAGTAAAGGAACCAGTCCCTTTGATCAATGTATGGCCCAGATATTCAAAAATTTCTGCGCTAAAGGAATCCAGGACGATGGTTACCACGATCCTAAACTGGCCGTGTTTCACCCGTTTGACAGCGACCGTATTGCGGTGTGGATGTGGGTGTGGATGTAGGTCTAGATGAAGAAAAGCTAAACTCACACCCACACCCCACACTCACACTCACACTCACACCCACACCCCACCCACACCCACATCCAGACCCCCACCCACACATCCACACCCCATCTTTCTTGGAGTCGCATTTTATCAAAATTTCAAGAACAAATCTGTAAAATAGAGGTGTTTCGTACATTGCAAATAGAAAAATACAAAGCGATAACTGCTGTTTTAGAATTTCGTTGATTCACAAATCTTTTTTTTCTAAATAATTGGCATTACATACAGTAATTTTATTCTATCAACTGCAAGGCTTCCTTTTTTAACTTAACTCGCAGAAAAATTTTGAATCAGGCGTCTTAATTAGCAATATGTTTAGCATTTCAAAGCATCATTTTTATATACAAATCAGAGTACATATACTAAAAAAATAATATACACAGAATTGTTTCAAGCACAAATCTGTAAGAAGATATAACTATAAGTAGTTCAATCAGGAGAAAAGAATCGTTTGTCTGACATTCAAAATGGATTATTTGAACCAAGCCGATCGCCTTCTTTTTTCAATATATCAAGATGTTTTCAATAGATTGAGTTGCGTTTTTCACCAAAACATATCACTTATTTTCACTGCCGAACTAGAAAAAGTAAAAATCATCAGCATCGACAATGAAGATTCTCGAGCAAAAAAATAAAATATGACCACTTTCAATCAGTTATCCTTATATATTTGTGTACAGTACATGATCTATGCGATGTTCGAATCATTTTTTTGTACTTCCACTTTGACAAAATAAATACATGACATACATAGATTATTCGTATCTTGAGCAAATAATATATGAGAACGAAGCAAATATTGGCGAAAATCGCAACTCGATCTGTTTGAACAAAAAGAAAAATTCCTCGCATTAAATATTATACTGTTGTTACGAGATGTACAATCGATAAACTTAATGTCTTAGAAATCAATACAACTCAAATTTCGATAGAATGGTATCTATTAATACCATTGAGTAAGAAATAGTTAATTGATGTGAAACTTAGAAAATAAAACATAAAATAACTAAGAATGTATTCTATTCAATTTTGAACAAATTAGATACAAAGAAATAATATTTGATGTTTTAGTTCAAAAAGTGACTTTATCGAATATTCCGTAGATATAATTGTTTTATCCTAATAGATTTTATTGTTTCACTAAAAGAAAGAAAAATATGCAAAGATCTTTGGATTTATGTAATAGAAAATACAAAACTTACTCAATTGATAATATATCAATAGAATCATAATCGATAAACGTTGTACATCTATCATCTTAAATCAATCACGCTTATTATTCCTGTATAAAGTTAAGAAAAACTTAAACTTACTTTCTAGAATTCCAAATCCTTCCACTAGAATTAAACACAAAAAAGATTAATCAATGAAATTCTTCTATCCTATAAGAGAACTACACGAACTTATATCAAGTAGATAAAATTGTCTCTGCACGACTAGAAAAAATGCAAAAGGCTTTGTTTTCATGAACTTAGTGATGGCTGTTTCAGTGAATTTTCGACCTGTAATTTCATTCGTAGACAGACTCCATAAGTTCATGAATATTCTGAACATTTCAGCCAAAATAAATGTTCATCTATCAAAATATTGAATTTTCAACAAAGAGTTTTCTATCACAAATATCAAGTTTATTTGAAACTATTCTGAGGCTACCTATGGACAAAACTACAAGTCGAAGTTCTATTAGTTGAATTTCTAGTTAATACCTAAAATAGGCCAAAAATTCAGTAACACAATGAGAACTCGATTTATCGTTGGACTTTTCTACTCTTACCAAAACTTCTTTTTGAACTCAATATAATCTCAAAAGGTAAGTAATGAATTCGAGTAGGTTCATAGTTGGATACCTGTATCTATTGCTGCATCCAAACAAATAAGAGATCTAATAAAAAAAAAAAAACTAAAACAAAATACATGAGATAGAAATGAAATACTTTGATTTCGAACGAGTATTTCTCAATGGTGATTGATCTATAAAAATTCAATTTAAATTCAATAATAGAAAATTTTGAATTTATGTTTTCCTTATTACATTTGCAAGCACAAGAACAATCTTTAATTTCTGATGATGATGGTGGCTCGATTTTCACCATCATTTCTAAAAATTAAAACAAACAGATAGACAATAAATACAGAAGGAACCATTGTCTAATTTAGTTTGTACCTGAACGATCTGACATAATGGCTTGATTAAGTTGTTCAAAAATATTTTGTATTTCATCAATTGAACTATTTAGTGCATCAAGAAATCTTTTTGTTTGTTCAATCAAATTTTGTTCGCGTCCAATTGTCAACAGTTTTTTCTCAACAATTAGTGTAAGCGTCGTTATAACTATATTTAATTGACTATGAACACTATCTAATCGTCGTTTATTTTGTTTTGTTATTTCAACATGTTCAGTTAAATGATTCAAACAAACAAGTAAACAACAATGACATTCATACAATTCTTTGATTGTATTATCACATGTTATATCAGTACATGAACCTATTTCGGGTATTTCTAAAAAAAAACAAAGATTGTTTATATCTGCAATATGTGCTGAGATATGATCCTTGTCACTATGGTCGAAATGTTTAAAATAATTGATAAACTTTCGACTACTAGCCTGTAGATATGGATGGTTCATCGTATGATTTCCCTAACGAAATCTATAGCGATGAATGTATGATCGATAAATTCATCACAATATTTCAGTTCTTTTTTTGAATGATTTTTTTTTTACATAGTTAGGAAGAGTCAACATCTGCAAGGAAAGTGTCAACATATCGAATATACGAAATTTCGAAATGCAAGGGAACGGCAAAATTCAAAATATAGAAAATGTTGAATAAAGAATGAAAGTGTCGGAAATTATTCAATATTTCATTTTCTAAGAATATACGTCTTTTAAGTGGAAGAATATTTAGATCTTTTTATTCTTCTTGAATGTAAAACTAAAAAAAATAGATGACAAAAATTTATTATACTTTCATTCAAATACACGTTTGGTGCATTTTTTTTCTTTGAAAGATATCGTTTCTAGTGCCCGGGAGAGGCCAAATTCCGATAGATCTATTAAAAAACGTGTTTTTTCAATGGTAAAAGTATTTATTAAAAAAAAACTTCGAATCAGACTAATTGAGCCGAGAGAGAGAAAAAGAAAGAAAACTTCAAGTATTCCTGTGAAAATTTGGTTTTAAGAAAAATACAAAGAACGATGCATTTTTTGACTTTCTTGAAATGAAACTAAAGTTTTTTCGAATTTTTGACATATAAAGTGATCGTTTTGCCTTCTCAAAAATATGTGTGTCAGATAGAAGACATTTAAATCGACATATCCAGCATAAAAAAATGAAAAATGAAGAAGCAGAAAATTTTAAGTAGGGAAAGAGAAGGGAGTCGAACTACAGATCGATTTCATTTGAGATCAGTTTTTTTCTATCTCTTTTAGGTGATTATCAAAGTTGAATTAATTACAGATGACTGATTCACATAGATCAATCAACGTTGAAATCAAGTGACATATGTCTTTAAGACTGGAAAATCAAATTAAAATAGTATTATTTTAATCGCTTTTTAATCTGATTTTTATTTCTTTTTGCATCAGCTATTTTTTCTTCATTCTCGGCATATAATTTCTGCTTCTTGTTTATTCAATAACAATGAAATGAATGAACAACGTGATGTGTGTAAATTCACATCCATTACCTTAATGTCATTATGTATATTTGTTTATGAGTTGCAATCCATTGATAATAATCTAGTTAAGAAAATAGTGATTCAAATGAGTCAACTCGATCATCGAAAGCCTTTCTGAATTTTTTTCCGAATTTCAACAAATAAATTTTAGAATTTTCTGCATTTTGGATGCGCTCATCACACAACATTGTTGTATTTCACTGAAAAAAAAAACTGTTGAACTCAAATTAAAAAGTTATACACATATTAACGCTTTTATGAGATGGATATAGGTGAGATTGAATCATGCGAATGACACAACTGATAAAAATTTGACTGAGTTAACCATCGAGTACAGATGTCATTTATATAGGAAAAAACCATCTGATCAGATTTATAAAGTTTCAACTAATCAAGAAATTTAAACAGTAAAGCACATAGGCAAATCGTGTATCCCCACACTCACTGAGCTAATTGTAAACGTTACATGTTTTCTTACAGTAATTCAGTTTATCCTGTGCATTTGTTGGAGTTGGAGCTCAGCATCTTCCTATGTAACCAATCGAAATATTCAAAATGCTTTTAGAAATACATCATGTTTTCTGTTGCATTGTACTGTACTTAAACATAAATGCCAAAAGTGTCAACTAGATTCATGTTCTTATCTTACTTGTTTCGACAAAGTGCATTTCACTTCTCATATCCTATTTCCAACCAACTAGAGATAAAAAGTGTTTACAAAGCTCTCAACCAGGATCAACCACATCAAGAAACATAGGTATGGTTTTTACGTTATTTATGAATGATCCAATTATTCTTTTTTTGTTCATTTTCATTTAGATTGGTCAAAAATACACTTGTTACTATCAAACATCAGTCGTGACTTCGGTCATTTTGAAGTTTCGAAAGGTGTATTGCTTTTGGACTTCTTGGTGTGCCTCTTACATTATCAGATTTGATGTTTGATACTTGTATGCGAATATCATTTGTTTTTAATGATATTGATGATTGATAATAAATCTTATACTAATGTGGCATTTCATGAATATCTGTTCATATGGATGTAAGTCTCCATCAACGAAATTATTACATACATCGCTACATCTTTTAATCGAATAGAATTTTTTGTAATGCATCGAATGCTAAGTTCTCGAATATTCGAAAACTTTAAATGACAAATACAAGTTCAATTATAACATACTTCATAGCAAAATTCAATAATGAGGGTGTGCGGAGATGTGTGAGTATTTTTCTTCTCTTCACCCACACTCACATTCTCTTTTTAAGATATCAATGAATTTAAAACGATTAATTTTTTTCAGAAAAACAAACATAAATCGTATAATATTTGTAACAAAACTTTTTGAGTACATTTTCAATACTACTTTTCTATCTGACAAGAAATCATACGATGAACTGACAATATCTATTGGCTTGTCGTTGAACAATTTTATTCGATAAAACAAGGCGTGATGCCATTGTGTCTTGTATTCTTTTTCCTTCATGCTAACCAATAAAATAATTATTTGTATGTGTTTGTCAGTTCGCTGGTCAGTCAATTATGTCGAGTATTTTTTTCATACATGATAATAGCAACCATAGCACAACGAATAATGAAGATATATTTGTATTTCTTTTTAGTATTTTTCAGAAATGCCTGAAGTAGGTTCATGTACTGACATAACATGTGATAATGAAATTAAAGAATTATATCAATGTCATTGTTGTTTACGTCCTGTTTGCTTAACTCATTTGATTGCACATGTGGAAATAACAAAACAAAATAAACAACGATTCGATAGCCTTCGTAGTGAACTAAATGCAGTTATAAATATACTTAAGCCAATAGTTGAAGAAAAACTACTTATTATAAAAGGCGAACAACACTTGATTGAACAAGCAAAAACTATTTTCGATGCATCCAATAGTTCAATGGAAGAGGTACAAAAAATTTTTGAACAGATTAACCAAGCAATAGCAGCGAATCCTTCAGGTAAAATCTAAATTAGATAATTATTTTTTGTTTTATTTATTTATTTATTTTCTTTTCCTTTTTTTTTGTTATGGAAGATATCATGGTGAAAATCGAACCTTCATTATTCGAAACTAATTATTGTTCTTGTGTTTGTAAGTGTAACAAGGAAAACATGAATTCAAGTGATAAATTGGAATTTTCCTGTTATTTAAAAGAACTTCTTAATAAAAGTAGAAAACCATAAAAGAGTTGTAGTTAATGAGTCAAGTTATGATTGTTGTAGGGAATTTTTGACCTGGAAATGTCTATAGAGATAAGTCTGATAATCTGAAACTTTCAGCTAAAAAGCATATGTATACTTATCAAGTTATTATATTTACAAGTGAATTCGATTTTGACCATATTTCTATGACTAGTGCCTATTTATTGCAAACGTAATAACTCGATGAATGAACATTTTTCTACTCTTGGCAAATTATTGTTGTTGACCTAATAAGAGTTCAAATGGTTGAGATTAGTGCATAGAGTTCCCTCGTAGGATAAAAAAGAATCTTCGAAATATATATTTTTCTTATATATTTAGCTGTGGCAGAACAGTTTGAAATTTCAAAAGGTACGTTAATTTTTTTTTCTAACTTCATAAAGAAACACAAGTATAATTGATTTAAGATGATAAACATTTAACATATATTAATCATGATTTTATCGATATTATTTCATCTGAGTAAGTTTTTCTTTAAGTAGCAAAGATCCGAAACTGATTACATACTTTCCTTTCTTTTAGTGAAACAACGAAATCTATTAAGGTAAAAATTATTATATCACTATGTAAATACGAAATCAAATGGTGAAAAGATTGGAGTCAATCGAAAGAATTTGGTTACGACTTGTCTCCAACGATGAATCGAAGTGCTAAGAGTTTTTAACATTTGAAGAGATTTGATTCAAAAGCCTTCTGTTCATATTAGGAATCATTTAATTGATGTTTCTCGGCAAAATTTTCTTCTGAACCCACTGATAGGAAATGGTCAAATTAGAATGTGTAGAAGAGCGAGCTTCAGAATCAATGAACTTCTAAAAAGAACCGGTCTTTGTTCGTATTCATTCTTTATTGAATGCGTGAAACATTCGTATTTCACAGATTTACTCTTCAAAGTAATGAATAAGAATGCGAATTTTCCATATTGAAATTAGTTTGGTGTAAATAACTTAGAAAGTAATTTCTGAATTTAAATATTTTCGTCTCGTATAAAAGTTCTATTTTCAATACAACATCACTTCAATTTCAGTTAAGTACTCTATGAATTCAATTTCCATGAGTATTATATTTTATCTTTCGTGATATTCTTATGCTTTTTCTATATTCAAGTCGACATTATAAGATATTGATTATCAACTCTGTTCGTTGTCTTTTATATACGTCTAAATTAATTTAATTTTCGATGAAATAAATCTTGCATGCTAATAAAACATTCATTATTGTTGTTTCAGGATCATCATGTGAATGAAGAACAAAAGAAACTTGAACGAAAATCATGCAGAAAGATTTCTGATGAATGTCCATTAACATTTGATGGAGCATATGGTCTTACTCAAGCAACTCATTCTATTGAATTTTGTGAGCATGACAAAACTTGTCAAATTGGTTTATATCAACATTTCATCAAAAAACATAAATTAAAAGAAGTTTATGCTCAACGTTTGATGCGAGCTGTTGCTGATAATAAAGATTCTAAGACAACAAAATTATTTGATGGAATTGAAAATGTAATCGATCATTGTTATAAAGTGCCAGGTCCTTTTACTAATGTACTAGTGAACTGATTCAACAGAATACAATCGATAAAACGTAGCAAATGTGTATTATGTCAACGTCATGTAGTTTCACTTTATCCATTGAAAAATAATTTACGAAGTTATCGTCATAGTCCAACACATTAGCATAAAAATTAGTTTGATAATTTCAAAGAAATTCGAACAAAAAATGATATTACTTTGGCTTCACTGATTTCGTTAACATGATAAGAAGGACAAAAAGTCTTTGAATTGTTTTTATTCATGTTTGTTTCGTTTTTTTTCTATTTGTGAAAATAAAGAATTCAATATTTTAAAATGGATATTTAAGTTATACTTTGCTATGATTCTTTGATTATGTTTTTTTCGTGTTCGAGCTAATAAGTTGCCAAGAAAAAACTAACAAGAAAACATACGCAATGAGTGGAGATGTTTCATTCTCAGTAGAACCACGTTAAACTTTAAAGCTTTAGACTCCATAATCTATGAGAATGAGTAACGATAAAATTTGTGCACAGATTAGGAACGGACATGGGTATTTTATAGCAAGATTTGTCAAATAGAAGTAGATACATCTCACTTAACTTCTGTCCATTATGTATTCTTGAAATGCTGTTTCTGGATGTGTCGATATCATAAGAGTGTACTCAGTTTTTAATCGCTAATATATCAATCGAAAACCACAATAACGAGAAACAAAGTATTTAAACTATTAGACTAGGAAATGAAAAATTGACAAACTGGTGGCTTCTGGCAATATCTCTTAATGAGGTTGAAGTATTGCTTAGCCGATGGCAGTCCCTAGTAATAGAAATATGAGTCAAACAGAGATAATTAATAATAGATTCCAATTCGTCAGCGATTATCAGAAAATCTGAAATAGAAGAAATATATCGATAATTCATTGATCATACGTAGATTTGATGATCTCTTGAAACGATTAATGATCATCAACGTGCTGCAACTGTGAAGCAATAAATGACCTATGACAGGAATGGTATGATTTTTATTTCGCGTGCATGTAATCTGATTTATAATTAGGGTGTGGGTGTGTAGTGTGAATGTGAATGTGTATGGATAGAAATGAATCACACCCACCCACGGGGTCTTCGAGTAGGATTTCGTGATAATTCTTTCTTTCCAAAAACTATTAGTTGAATTTTAAATAAATCAATTAGCACCACTTTTTACTATCCAGCACTGGCACTTACCCAGAAATTTTCTGAGGAAAGAGTTGAATTTTTTGCAGAGAAGGCTTAAATAAGCAGCCGAAAATCATAACTTTTCTCTTCAGATAAAATTTCTCTCCCTACTTTCGCAAGGGAAGTTTTTCCTGAGGGGAAAGCTGGAATTCTCTAGTCCCTCTTTAGTACGCATGTGCCTCATAAAAATTCCTTCTCCTGTAATACAAGGAACCTTAAGATAGCATTGTCTTCGATACAATAAAAGACTCATCTAATTATTTAATTCAATCAGAAATTGTAACTTTGATCAATATATTTATTGGGACATATGCTTAGTTTTCAGAACTATGGGCTAAAAAATCAATGAAGACCGAATTTAAAATGATTTGTGCATCTTTTTAATCTTAAGAGGCTTTCAAAAGCTCGAAGCTGTGGCAATTTCATGGGAATGGTTTTATTTCATAGTTACTAAGAAAGAGAAATCTAATAGAAGACCGCTTTAGAAGATTTATCTGCTTGAAGATAATAGAACATATGAGTTCTTCTATTTTAGAGAAGATCAAAGATATGAATATAGGATCTTCGTTTCTTGGAGTTTCGTTCACAATGAATGCGAATACATTTGACTACTCGGTGTTGTGCGTTTTTGAACGCACTGAAATGGCTAGACATACCTTTTCTTTCATTTTGTGGCAAGTCACTATGTGTTCTCATTTCTAACAATGGAATCCGAAACTGACATGCTAAGAGAGGGTTTCTAATATAGATAAATTCATTCTTTTGGTTATTGTATCATTACGTAAATGTTTTTCATGCAGAATAAGGTTGTAATGGAGTGGTTTACATTCTGTTTTTCTTAGACAAAGAAAGACAAGAAAATATTCGTACATTGCGTATTTTAGAATGCAAAAACACGCTAATTCTTGCCAATTTTGCTTTAAAAAATATTGTTTGGATTTTCGTAATGTGCTATCGGAAAGAAACTTTTGATTGAATATCTGCTGGCTGATTAGTTTCAACCGATGAGAAAACGGGCATATTATCCTTTCAGTTTTTGTACAATTCATCTTATTTTATGAGAGGAACTATTTTAATTCACAATAACCTTGGCGGTAAGTATTATTTAAAAAAGATAATTATTTTTTCTTATTTAGAATAATCACAGCATCAATTTCATAAGTATTATTTTACAAAATAAATTACTTTTTTTTTTCTCATTTATATTAATAGCAAAAGCAATATTATCAGTAGATATAACTGAAAAGAAAAGTATACTTTTATATTTACGAGAAAGGAAGAAAGAAAAATGCATTTCTCTATTCATTTATGAGAAGTTCATGAGAATATGATGCCGCTTACGAAATTTAACTAGAGTCACTCATTTTTTTATTTAAAAAAATTGTAACATTAATTTAGTTTAGAATCTAACGTAAACTTCAATTGACCTTTAGAAAATTCTGACAAAAAAAACCATTGTCTTCCTGTAATTAGTCGTGTACATTTGTCTTGAAACGGTAGCAATTTTTTAATATTATGGCTTGTAATTTTTTTTTCTTTCTGTCGTTTTTCTCAATAGTTTACTCGTCCGCCAAATACAACGATAGTCGTCATAGAAAAGGAAAGTAAAAATCCGTTGATATACAGAAACACACCACGATGACGGCAACATTACGCATTAAAATTGAATATGCTGGGAATAGTAAAGAAGATAATTCTTCGTTAAAATTCGTCTATGTAATCGATTCGCCTAGGGTAACAACTATCGACAAACTCATCACAGATATTCAAGAATTCATTGTTACTCAATTCGGTTTACACAACATGCGTCTAGTCGATCTTGTTACCGATGATGGCTATATTTTGATGAAACAAAATATTTGTGTTGATGTTCTTAACAATAACGAGAAGTTAGTTTGTATTGATATGGATCGATTTGTCGCCAAGAATAAAAGCACATTGAATTTTGAAGATACTTGGTTAAAACTCGAGCAACATGATGCAAGTGATAACATACAGAAAAGTCTCACTGTGGGTGTAAATAATGCTGGAAAACTTTATGTGTACTTATTCGGTGGTAGAAATATGCAAGGATTATATCTATTCAATGTATTCGAACTGTTAGCTATGGCATGTGATGAAAGCGAAGGTAAAGTATTGAAATAGAATTGTAGATATTGTATAGGTCTCATTTATTAGAAATTGATCACTTTCAAATGAAAATTCCGATAATGTCTTCATCTGAATGGTTCATCAGTGCTCAATGGACACATGATCCTACCTCGAACAACACTCTATTTCTCGTCGGCAATCTAAAAACTGGTGATACATCAAATATCCTCAGCAATAAACTTCGAATCCATCTTAATGAATCTACAAAAACTATTGAAAAGGGAGAAGTAATACCTTTGTCGAATCAGTCTAACGAGGATGCCACCCAAATGGCTGCACAAACACAAGTTCGACTAGACGAGTTAAAGAAAACGATTCCATCGCCGAGCAGAACGGGACCCGTCCTTGATACCAAAGTTCCAATTGCTAAAATATATAAACACGAATGTGCAGGTGATTCACCGATTCTTATAATCCAAGGAAAAGAGAGTTCTGTCGATGTCGAACAAGAAATATTTGCTCGTGATGACAGCTTTCGCAACTTAATTACTATTACTGATATTATTATTTCGAAAAAACCGGTTGTATTACCGGAAATTTTGACACATAAACGATCAGCACCTGCAGAAAAACCAATTGCAATTGCTCAAGTGCAGGTTCATTACCAATGGCATGATGGTAAATGGCTCGACTGTGAAGATGCTAAAATAGCAATTGCATCTGGACAACAGGATGATCGGCGAAAAATAGTTACATCTATATTAAACATTGAACCGGATAAACTAATCTCGGTTTCCATATATGCAGCTATTCGAGTAAAGGGTAATCCTAATAGAAATAATATGACTCGTTCTCGTGCTCATAGAAGCCTTCCTCAACCACTCAAACTCAAAATTATTTTTACCGATAATCTGTCAAAGACCTGCTCGCTTATTGTCGAACAAATGAACCGTCCTCTTCAAATTATTACCAAAGAATCATTTCTTAAAAGCAAGGAAAACGATGTGAACAAACTAATTGCATTCATTTATGTGGATGATTGCGAATATGATGAGCGTAGTTACATTGCAGTTTATATTGATAAAGAGCATCATGTAGTTATTGGTGATGAAGGAAGTTATACATTTATGAATAAGGCACAAATGCGTACTAGACAGTTTAATGCCAAGAAAAGTGGGAAAACCGAAGAACTCATTGAGTTCATTAGCAGAAGTGACAGAATGGTAACATCACTCTTCGATCCAGAAACTTTTCTGCTGTATGCTATTCGTATTGAACTGACAAGTACAACATCGAAAACAGTCGAAACAGTACTTTTACCATTGGACGAAATAAAATGACTTTTAAGAAAAAAACTAATTTATTTATATAAGGCATGTACGCTATGAGTGAATCCATGGGTATCCAACCACTTTTTGGAAAAAGTTTTTTTTTTTCCATTTTTTTTCATCTAGATAGATGCATAGTGATCAAAAAACATGTTTAGGAAAAAAATTGTGAACTTCCATAAAATAATCTTGGATTTCTAGATCATTTTTTAGGACCATGTGTGGTCTATTCTATGAAGGTTCTCCGACAAAAACATATGATTTCTTTAAATCGGTCGGAAAGCATCCTATCTTGTAGAGCTTCGTGAGTTGTGTCTACAGTAAAAAAACTCCGCTTAGACGAAAGTCGGGTTAGGAATATATAGGTCTCACAAATTTAGCTGGGGATTGTCATAATGGAGATGTATCAAATTATGAATTTGGCATTACAAACAATTTGAGCCTAATTTTATTATCCTAAGAACCAGCATTCATCTCTGATTATTTTTCACAAGTTTGTTTTCTGTTTTAGTATCACTTTTTTTTCATGCCTGGAGTCCCTCTCACGTCAGAGATCGAAAAAGAATTTTTGTCACCGTTCTATTAGAAGTCATTATAGTTCAATAGAGCTCATTGTGCTGATTACATATGTTACATTCTTTTAAACAATTAGTCGGATAATAAGAAAGATCTGAAGCACTTTCTAAAGGTCCCAAACGTTAGTTTTTGCCCTGAAGGTCCATGAAAATCCAATGTAGATTCGTTGAAAATAGGCTCATTAAAAA